TAATCACACTATTCTCATAGAAAAGCGTTCTGCTTATGGAGTGTGCGGCTCAGTTCTTGACTGGATTAAAACTATCTGACAAATAGAATCTCAAACACCCGGGTTAACAATATAGCCTTTTCATTTTACAGTGCTTCCTCTGGCGTTTCTCGAGGATCTGTTTTAGGTCCCCTCCTGTTCTCTATTTTTGTAAACGATGTTTCGTCCGTTTTTGTTTTCCCCTAAGTCTTCATTTCTGAAGTATGCAGAGATATAAGACTACACAGACACATAGTTAGCATTAATGATTGCATTAGGCTTCAAGAGGACGCATGTTCACTTTACAATGAATGCTCGGTTAATTATCTTTCTCTTAACAGTTCGAAAACCAAAGTTATGCCATTTTCACAGAAGACATTGAATACCATTTACTCTTATAGCATCTGCAGTGAATTGTCCCCGGGTGTGTCTGAAATAAATTACCTGGGGGTTATGTTTGATTCGACTTTGAGGTTTGATGATCACATAACAACAGTTGTAAACTCATTTCTCCGCACGTTAGGCGCCACATTTCGTATAACCAAGGAATTTAAAAATTAGTTTACGTTTCTTACATTGTACCGCTCGTTAGTAAGACTGCCACTTGTGTACGCCTCATGTTGTGTGGAACTGAATTTCCAAAAACTAACTCCTTGGCACTTGACAGAGTTCAAAATAAGTTTATTTAAATTTTTAAATATCGCTAAGCTAAGGGTGCTGTACACAGCTTCCAATATGAAACCGATTCTGAACTTGCGAACTTGCTGAGCCTGCATCAGCGTCGGGCTAATGCTTATTTATTGTTTTTAATTAAGATTCTTCACGGTTTTATTAACTCTCCCAACCTCTTGATAGGAGCGAACATTAGAGTTTTATGTGTGCCTACTTGGCATCAATCATCGTTTTATACCTCTAGGCATTTTAATCGATTAAGCCTTATTCTTAAATCGGCGGAGGGCTACAACGTATACTCTGATGCTATCGATATTTTCGGTTCATGCTGCATAACTTTTGATCTCTCCTCTTGCAAGCAGTTAATGTTTGAAAATGGTTGATAAGTAGTCATGTGTCGCTACGATATCATGTTATTTGCCTTTGTTTAAAATGTGCAAGCTTTGGTGTAGCTTCTACGGTGTTGTTCTGCTTGTTCTTACTGCTTGAACTGTCTTCAAATTTGTGACTGCTCTAGTGTCAGACCGGTGGACTGCGTTCCACCATTACCCTGGTGTTTCCGTTTTATTAATTAAGTTTTTCTTGGATACTCAAGTGAACACTAATTGATTGATTTATTATTAATTATTATTATTATTTAAGTCAAGACACTTCAGTCGGGGGCATATTGTATTAATCTCAGTTTAATATATACCTTATACCCCATATTGTTTGTCTTCTTTGGTATGTAAAGTTATTTTCCTCCCGAAGAGTTCATCGACACAATCCTAACGGTTGTTAAAACATGATGATGTCTACAAACTGCAGACGTGGTGTTGTCGCTCTCTTTGAAGGGGGCGCCTATACCGTAAATGTTAGGTGCTTGGTGAGTGGCGTCACCACGAACCCCAACCACGTAGGCCCCCATACCCACACGCAGTGGGCACCCGCTTGAGTACAGTGTTCGGTGAGTGGCGTCACCACGCACCCCGAGCCATGTGGGTTCACCCACCCACGCCTGGCTGCGCGTCGCTTAACGCGCCGGAGATTGGCAACACCAAGCGCTCGAACTGTGAACTCAAGCATCACGAATTCAATTTGCAGGCTCGCTATAATCTTTCTTTGTGAGCTTGAGAAGCGTTCAGGATACCATAGTGCAGCAGTCAAGCTGAATTATTCAAATGTCCAGTTTGTTGAGTTTTCGTCAAGCATTGGCTTGACCAGAACTCAAAACAAAGGGACAGAAAAACGTTTTCGAAGAAGACAAAACAACAACGGAGGTTGTGTCACACTGGTACCGAAAGATACGCTTATAAGACTACTATAAACTTGAAGGTGGATTAGGCCCCAAGTCATGCTTTCTTCGCTAATGTTTAGATTTTGTATTACCAACAGGCTTGTTCGATCATTTGTCACATTGTCGCGAATAAAAAACCGGACTTTCGTTTTTTGGGAAATGATGTATTAAATTTAAGCTGTCATTGGCCATCATTCTATGAATGTGTTCCAAATATAACTCGGGTAGATCTGAGCTCCTCTATCGGGTGATATAATGTGACAAAACCAAGAAAACAACCTGAACGTGGGTAGGTTTTAAATACGCAAGCTACGAAGAGTTTGTTCTAAAGTAAGATCGAGCGAACTGTAGAACACGGTCTACGGGTTGGAACCACTTCAGGAATAGAAACGGCTTATTGAGGCCAGATCTTTGAGGTTGGAAACAATCGACAGCTGGTTGTGTTTCTCTCCCCGGCTTATTTTAAATGCGATTCGCAAAAAAAAAAAAAAAAAAATAGAACTATTTTTATTGTTAAAAAAAAAGTCAACAAGTTTGACTAGGTTAGCATAAAAAAAGCGCAGGTGCGTTAGTACTTTGGTGTTAGGCGGAGCCCTTTACAGTTTGTTTCAACATCGCTTATATGGAATAAGCACAGCTTTAGGGAAAAAGAAAGCAATCCGAGTCTCCGAAAATAAAGCTTTTATATGTGATTTTTTCTTTTATTGGGGGAGGGGAGGTTTTTTTAAAGCTAACTTTCATTAATCTTTCGAACATTGCTTTTGAGCATGCCAACCGTCGTACATTTATCATTCAAACGAATACGTTCTTTCTATTTATTGTTTTCACACTCCTTTATTGTCTCGGCTAGAATATTTGTGCAAATATTGATTGAAAAATATCGGTAACTTTCTAAATCTGACGGGCAAAACCATATCCGGTTTTACCCGTCATCCATTGTTCTATATATGAGTCCTCGTATTAGTTAATTTTACTCGGACAAACAACATTAGGAGCACGTGGATTATGTATTACTTTCAAAAATTAACGAGCAACAACCTGTGCTTCATTGAGGGCAATTCAACTTCAGTACACATTGCGAAACAAAATTGGGTTGTGTGTATGTTTATACAGCCTAGAACCTGGTCTGCCTCAGCGGGCGACGAGACTCTTAGCGGTAGATAAGGAATTTAGCCAGTGCAGTACAACCACTAGCCTAGGGTTTTTAACGTGCATCACGCAGTAGTGATACACGACCGCGCTCCGGTACGATGCTCATCCAGATCGAAACGGGCAGAGGGGAAACGGGGGTGGGGATATAACCCAGGATCCTGAGTTCTGCAGCGCGAGCTTCTGCATCACGTAACCAATGATCGAACGATCCTGTTGGTAATAAATGTTAAACATTAGAGACAAAAAAGCAAGACTTACGGTGTAATCTATCTTCACATTTATATTAGTCTTTTAGGAGCATCTTTCGTTACCAGTGTGACGCAAGCCTCAGTTTTTGTTTTTGTTTTGTTTTTCGAAAACGTTTTTCAGTTACTGCGTTGATTCTCGCCAAGCAAGTGTTCGACGAGATTCAACAAACTGGACATTTGACCAATTCATCTTGACTCTGGCAATAGAATGTTAATTGCTTATCATGAGCACAAATAAAAATATTAGCGAGCCTGTAAACTAAACTCGTGATGTTTAGGTCTACAGTTCGAGCGCTCAGTGTCGCCAAGCTTTAACTCGTTAACCTGTTCAAAAACCCATTTTTGATATTTTTTTTTCTCTAGGGGGGTGAATGAGCATTCGGCGCGCGGCAGAACATAGCGACGTCATGCCGTTAGTACAGCCGTAGTTCTATAATTATAAAAGCAGACGGTAAGAATTAAAATAAAAAAAGGAAAATAAAAAGAGAGCATTTGTAGAGATCGAGTCGTGCACAGATACAGGAATCGGAGGCAACTCTTGCTTGCTGTGTAGCCTGACCAAGCCCGCAAAAGCTGCTCTGTCCAGAGGGCTCACATTTCTCTAGTTTCACGGACTTGCATTGAAATGTTACACGATGGTGTCTAGAACACGTATCTGACTGGTGTATTTACCGCGTCCTAAAATGTGGTTCCTCGATTTCTACGTGATGGCGTCATAGAAGTATCATGCTGTCGCGGGTCGCGATCCTGGCGGTGGCAGAGCAGCGGTGCTGGGTGTGGAAGACACCTGTTGTAAGTTTGAACTCTGACTCGGAGCTCGGGAGGGCAAGAAACAGAAAAACCGACAACGAGATAGCGATAAATCTCACGCGGTACGGCGCAGCGTAAAAACGTAAACAGACAAGACGAGAAATAAGCACACACAAAGAAAAAACACCGAGCACGAGGAAAGCACGTTCATGCTCGGGTAACCTCGACTGGCACCTGACGGACTGAGCTTTGCCCGCGGCCTCACGTCATGTTTACACCAGCTCGGGCGAACATGAGCAAGACGAGATGTCTGCCGCCGCCATCAACCATCTGGGGGTGCGAAAAGCGGACCGGGAAAGAAGCGGAATTTGAGACGTCGGTCGGAAGAGAGAGAAGGAAGACGCGAGCAACAGCAACAGCCCGGTGTGGGAACAAGAGAGATCGAAAAGGAACGCCACGAAAGACGCCACGCAAAAGAACTCTTCTGTGTTTAACGAAGCTTGAGTTGTAGATTTAGACTAATTCGTATTGGGTTAAACCTTGCGGTTGTCATTAAACAACAACACCTGTTCTGCTGCAAGTCGCTTCAGTTTCACAGCTGCCGGGAGCTTTGGCATCCAGGAATTGAGACGCCGCGAGAACAGCGACACAAGCGTTCGCTCACATTTTTTGACGGGACTTTGAGTACCGACCGCCAGGATCGCGATATCCGCCAGCTTGACACGCCAGCCTCTGTATCACCATTTGTTGCCACTCGGTCCAGGAGTTTACATTGGATGCGTGCGCGATATAAGACGTTAAACACACCCGTCGAGGACGCGTTTCAGGCACCGTTGTTTTACCTCACGCTTCTGAGAAATCAGACAGTTAACAACCAGAGCACGATGCACGCCAACAACGACGACTCCCTGACTACACTGAAGCCGGAACTCTACGTGGCCTCTAACCAGATACAGTGGGGTGTAAATCTCAAGGCGCTTGAAAACTTCCAGAAGTCGTTCGGTCGGGACGAAAAAGGAGAACAGCAATACCTCGATCTGGGCTGTGGCACGGGTGACTTTACACGCGAGGGCCTGCTTCCCCGCTGTCTTCCATGCCGAAGGATTGTCGCTGTCGACGTCTCCAGGGACATGGTGGAGTACGCCAGGAGTCACTTCGCCCATCCCAAGATTACATACGACGTCCTCGACGTTGTTGCAGATGACGTGTCCGATTTCGTGGAGCGGCACGGTCAGTTCGACAGTGTCTTCTCTTTCTTCTGTCTAAACTGGGTGAGGAATCAAGAGAAGGCGCTCAAGAACATCGCGCTTCTGATGAAACCCGGCGGCAATTGTCTGCTCCTCTTCTGCGCCTCTACGCCACTGATGCGATGCCACCAGGAGCTTTCTCGGATGAAGCGTTGGGAGAAATACGCGCACGTGAGCAATGCCGACGGTTTTCTTCACGCGAAGTTTATTTCAGACGCGTGAAACTAAAGACCTAAAGAGACGTTTGTGTTCAAGCGCTATGCGTTCTGTTGCGGCAGGCAGACTCGAAGCGCTGTGAAGAGAATTTTCGCCAAGCTTATACACTTGCGCTGACACGCATCCGAATGCAGTCAAGAGCCAGTAAGAACGCGCTATCATCGTTGGGGGCTCCCCAACAGCAAGCGAAATACACGGCAGCATAATGGCGCCCGGCGACAGCGTCAAGGTGCCCGAAATTGGGACGATCCACCCGCTGCTTCTGTCGAGCTTGAATCATCGCAACCCTAGAATAATATCGTGGTCCCGCGTCCCCACCGCTCAAACTAAAGTATAGATTCCGTCCCCGTTTGTGGGATAAATGCGCGTCGATCACGCTGACGCGCGGTGCGGGTGACCACGTGATCCTGCCTTTTTTTCTCGGCTTCTGGTTGATGTACCCGTAACGCGACTCTCTGGAAAGGTGGGCCAGGTTTTACTCTCTCGCATCGCGCAGCGGAGCGCTGTGCGACCGCGCGCTTCGTATACTGCGAGCAGCTGCTTCTTGCCGCAAGGACGCCGTTCCGCACTCAAACGCGTTCATCCGCAAATGTGTGTATGTGCCTTGACGGTGGTTTCCAACGCGTTACACGCACAACACGCGTACGTGCTCCCGGGTTTTTCAGAATACTCGATACAAGTTTATATTTATTCAGAGGTAGGTTGTATGAAAAGTGTACGATTGAACGAGAACTTTTTCGACAGAAAAGTGCCTTGTTGGGAGAAAGTTAAATTAAAAAAAGGAGGTATATCTCCAACCAAACTCCCAAAAAGGTACTGCCCAACGTTACAAAACCTGCTCGGATTCTTCATTAGGGGTGACTAAATCACGTGGAGCTGCAGCAGCTTTCATCTTCCTCTTAGTTGCTTATAACTCTACATTTCTTGCACTTTTTATAAACATGGCTTCTTGTTCACTGCCCCCGTCAGGTGGCGGAATCCATGGACGTAAACCGATGGCAAAGCACCCAGGGACCCGTTTATGTTTCCTGGCGTGTGCTGCATGTGCCAAGACTCCAAGAAGAAATTTTTTTGAGTATATGGGTCAGCTTCAATCACGAGCGCGTTCGAGAAATCGATCGGATGGTCGTGGGCATCGCAGTGTTCCGCGACGGCGCTACGCTCGTGATCGAGCTTGCTCACGTCTTCCTTGTGCTGTGCGATGCATTGCGGAAACTTTTTCCTCTCGCCGATGTAAGTAGCGGGACACTTTGCACATGAAATGTTATAGACCACGCCATGTGCTCTCTCGCTTGAGAAGAGGCTATCTTTGGGTCGCGGCATGAAGCGTCCCAATGTCGACTCAGGCTTCTACGCGCCTCGGAGACCTTTTTTCAGCAGACATGCCAGTGCTTCACTGGCACACACTGTGAAGCACTGGCTTTTTCTTTTAATAATAATATTTTTATTGCAAATGAACATAACGTATGTTAATTCTGACCTGCCTAAGCCACATTGGGCTTGACTGGCAGCGTCTTAAAATCAGTGAAACCATGCCGTTTGCAAAAGGAAATATGTAAAATAAAATCCACACAAAAAATCAGAATAACAAAAGCAAACTAGTGAGCACTTTACAATCTAAAATTTCTCAGGGCTTTCTTGAGCTTGTATTTTGTTCTTAAATTTAGAACACTAGAAGGTAGTTTGCTCATAAATGCTGGTACATAGTAACTCCGAGCTCTTTTTCCAAATCTTGTCGACATCGAGGTATCCGGTAACGCCCTTTGGGTCTATGAATACGAGAAGGTACATATGGAACTTTAAATTGACTATCCCAAAAATGCCTCTGAACAACAGTTTCCATCAATAGCGAGTTACAATCAGGCAAATGCAGTGCTTTAAACACATCAATGTCCTTACCAAGGCATAAATCATAGGAAATTATACTTTAGCAAAGAACGCAGAATCGAATTAATTCTAATTTGCCAACGCAGAGCAGAATGACCATACACGGTAATACCGTAACGGAGCACACTGTAAACAAGAGCATGTAAAACAATCTTTCTAACGGATAGTGGCATAAAATATCTCGTGTTGTATAGCAAACAAGACACTGCACGAATTTTCTTACACACATGAGCAAGATGAGTGTTCAAGGTTAGGTCACTGTCAAAGAATAGGTCAAGATATTTTATAGAAGATATATGCTGTATAGGCTCACATGCACATGATAGGCACCTAGACGTATGTAATCGTAAAGAGCAGGTCATATTAACTTTTTTCAAAGGGTTGTGGAAACATATTAGCTGCGTTTTGGATGCATTAACTTTAATTAAATTAGCTTCAAACCAGTCCATAGTTTTAATTGCCGCAGTTTGCAAAGACGAAAAGGCATCTGAATAATTGGACGCTCTAGATAAAATAACGGTGTCGTCAGCATATTGAAATAGTGAAATTAGTACCACCATGGAGAGGTCATTAACATAAAGATTATATAACAGTGGACTTAAAACCGAGCCCTGGGGGACACCCGCTTTGATTGAAAAGAATCTGCTTTGATACCCTCCAAATGAAACACATTGACGCCTATCCTGTAGAAAGTTTTCCAGTAAATTTAAAAAAAGAACCTCGAAAGCCTAACTTTGAAAGCTTTGTTATCAAATCGTGATGGTTAACACTGTCAAATGCCTTGCGCACATCAAGGAACATTGCGCAGAAACCGAGCCCTGGGGGACACCCTCTTTGATTGAAAAGAATCTGCTTTGATACCCTCCAAATGAAACACATTGACGCCTATCCTGTAGAAAGTTTTCCAGTAAATTTAAAAAAAAGAACCTCGAAAGCCTAACTTTGAAGGCTTTGTTATCAAATCGTGATGGTTAACACTGTCAAATGCCTTGCGCACATCAAGGAACATTGCGCAGGCAACTTGATTCCGTTCAAAAGATAAATTCAGCATGTGAGAAAAGTCCCCAAGGAGCATTTGAGTACCTCGGCCTTGTGTGAATCCGTACTGATAAGGAGATAGTAAACTGTGTTTATCTAGAAAGCTATTCATAGTTATCGACATACGTTTTTCCAGGATTTTAGCAAAGCAAGGCAGAATGGAAATAGGTCGATAATGTTCTACGTTATTTCGTGCGCCTCCCTTGAATAATGGAATCACCAAAGCTGTTTTCATTGCTAATGGAATGATAACATTAGATATTATGTGATTAAAAATCGAAAGTAGAACAACCCCAATCCCTTCAAAGTTTCTGCGCAAGTCATTAACTGAAATACCGTCGATACCTGGAGATTTATTGGGCTTAAGGCTAAAATGGATTGACCTAAGCTCTTCTTCAGAGAGAAGAGGAAGATAAGCCGAGTCTAAGACACTTTTGTTTAAGGTACATGACACTGGGTGTTGCCCTGCAATACCTGATAGTTGAGAGAAAAAATTGTTAAATTCATTAGCAATACTCTGTCCATCAGTAGAGAATTGCGAAAGAAGGTAGCTATCATTGCTTTTAGTGCACTTCTTCGTACCATGGAGATCGTTGTTGAGCGACCAAGTTTTTTTTTTATATCAGAACGAGCGTCCTTAAATTTATTTCTCAAGTGCATGCGTTTGGCCTGACGAATCATGGCATTAACCTTATTTCTGTATTACTTAAATTGCAATCGTAGCATAGTGTTACCGGGGGAGCGTTTTGACTGTGCCCATAAAAGATCTTTTTCTTTGATGGCTGCCAATATTTCTGAAGACATCCATTTCTGGTCTATGTTACGATGTCTAATTTTTACAGTGCGTGTAGCCGCCTCTTTATAAAGGTTAAACTGAGCTACAAACTGTTCATAACCGTCAGCTGGAGATGTAGTTAGAAGAAAAGTATTCCAATCATGTTGCTCCACAAGTTTATCGAAGTGCCTGGGATCAACTATTGACAACTCCCTCACAGCGCCAACATAAGTCAACGGCTTAGGTATCTGTGTTAATGAACAACAGACAAAATAATGATCAGCAAGTTTCGCTTCAATAATTGCAGACTGGATTACTATGTTCTGAGCTCGTACGTTTATATGATCAATGTTAGATACGACCAACTGGCCAGAGATAAATTCCTCCCGTGTTGCCTTCTGAATTGTTGGTTTTAGGCCCCATTTAGACAAAACATCAAGATAGTCTGCGACTATGGTCACTGTGGGACAAAGTACGTCGATATTAATATCGCCGTTTACACATACAAGCTCTTCAGATGAAAGAGAGGACAAAGCTAAATCTAATTCGGCCAGAAATAACCGTGCATTACAGCACGGGGGACGATAGATTGAGAAAAGGACCAGGGATAACAAAAGAGTGCTTAAGTGCAGCGTAACTACTTCTGCCTGTTGGAATGAGAATTTTAACTCGGCCACCGACCAACTATTTTTTATAAACACAACGACACCGCCTCCTCTTCCCATTGGACGAGTACAAGAGAACAACTGATAGCCTGGTATTTTATACTTAGTGAAACTGTCCGAAGAAATGTTAATCTCGGTCAGTACAAAATCATCAAAACAATAGCAAAAAGGGAAGATTAATGCGAGAAAATGGTCCCAGTATTTCCGGATGCTTCGGATATTAACATGGGTAATACGAAAAGTATTACCTTTGAAACTTGTAAAAATGTTTTGTACTTCTGAAAAGGAAACAAAAGTATGATAGTCATCACAGTCCATAATCAGACGGTCCTCTCTAGATCCAATATCCTTTTAGTTTATCAGTTCAAGATCGTGTTCACAGCTGATGCGCACTGGGGTTGCCTCATCTTGCCGCTTGGCAAAGATCTTGCCATTTCGAATCCAAACATACTTGAATCTTTTCTTCTTTCCCCGTGTTCGAGCCTTCCAGAACAGGTTTCGGTTGATTTGGGTGAGATTCTCGTTAAAATAAAGCTGGGGTAGAGTTCTCGCTTGTGCGAGTTCGCGCAGACCGCCACGTGCTTTCATCCATATCTCTCGTGCAGCTGATGACAAAAATCGAACCAAAATCGGGGAGATCT